AAAGACGTTGGGACGGAGCTTTTCCCCCTCCCATCATTAGGTGTGGAGGGGGAAAGATGTTGGGACGGAGCTTTTTCCCTTCCCATCATGTTCCCCTTTCATGGGCCCGCCCATCAAAAACGTCTTCCTAAGCCTCTGTCTTCCTTCCCCTTCCTTGTCGTGCAGCCATAAGCCTCTGCCTTCCTTCCCCTTCCTTGTCGTGCAGCCATAAGCCTCTGTCTTCCTTCCCCTTCCTTGTCGTGCAGCCATAAGCCTCTGTCTTCCTTCCCCTTCCCGTCCGCTTACCGGCTGCTTCCCTCGCACTTACCTAAGTCCAGACCGTCGAGCCTCTTCAGCTCCCTGAACAAAGCTGCCGTGACAGAGACGTAGCCGGGCCTCGCACAGACAGGATTGCCCTGCACGAAAGCAGGGAAGGAAGGAAGGGAGGAGGAAGGGGAGGAGGAAGGAAGGGAGGAGGAGGGGGAAGAGGGGCGCCAGGCTTGGAGAAGGAGGGCGGTCAGCAGAGGACAGACGTTGGCAGGGAGGAAGGGTGGCAGGTGGTGGGAGAGGAGGTTGTCTCGCAGGTCGAGCGTGCGCAAGGCTGCGGGGGGAAAGAGGGGAAATACCAGTTCAGTCGCGGGGGCAACGCGTCTGATGGAGCGAATTGTGAAAAGAAGTAACAGCATTCTCCCCCAGTCTTTCCTCCCCTTCCCTTGGAAGGCTTGTTCACCCACCGGGCAACAGGCACGATCCGTACTGACCCCAGCCCTCTAGGTCTTCGATACGGTTGAAAGGAACCAATAGTATTTGGAGAGAGGGGAGGTAAGGGAAAGTAGTGTCCAATGCCGTAATTTGGTTGCATGAAAGGTCGAGATGGGCGAGGCTCGGCATGGGGGAGGTGGATAAGGTGGAGGAAGAGGAGAAGGAAGACGAGGACAGAGAGAACGAGTGCAGATGATTCGATGAGAGATTGAGGGACACGAGATTAAGTAGCGGAGGAGTGCGTGCAACGCTGCGAAGTTGATTTGCGTGGAGATTGACCGTCCTGGAGTACGTTGGGGTGGTAAAATAGCGAGTGAGACTGTGGTTCTGATTGCTGCCATTTTTGTAGGAGTGAGGAAAAAGATGAAAATCAAACGCTCTGGCTGGGCGGATTTTGATGGAGGCATGGGAAGGGAGGTGCACGCAAAGCCCCAGATTCTGATTACTCCTCGTACGAGCTCTATATGCCACTCGATAGCTATAGGAAATGAACATATTATGCTGTGTGCATTTTATTAGTCTGAAGCAACCGCCGAAAATTCCGTGAATTCATATATATTTTGTTGCCTCTCCATACCTGAGCCTCCCCAAAATCGCTGCTCTTTCTTCCTTGGTCTTACGGATGGAGGCAGAATACACTGTAGCAAGTGCATTGTTGATATCGGTGCAGCCCTCATGTACCAAAACCAAGCTGGTTGTGGTGGACGAGGTCATTAAAATTGGCAAGCAGGGTAGCGGTGAAAAGACGGAGCGTAAGGAAAGGGTGGGAGGTCTGATTCCGTGTCGAGTGCTGCTTTCCTAATGGCGCATTTTGAATTTCTGCAGTGCAGAAAATGTCATCTCATAAAGCCACCTGAGAGAAAAAATGTTTTTAAGCCACATAATTCATGGAACGAAAAGAAATGCGTGGGGGAAATGTTGGAGTACGGCAGCTTTCACCTTTCGGGCACGTTTTTCGTGGCACTCTCTGTTGTCTTGGCGATTCGCGTGCGATGACATTGGTAAGTGACAAAACCAGGTGTCGTACATCCGTCCCATCGGTGGTGCCGTGAAACATGGCTGCGTGAGCGCACAGAAAGACCCCTTTTGAGCTTTAAGCTTTTCATGTCCAGCGAAACGAAGGGATATATGAGTTTTTGGCCAGAGCACGCGCGTCGACATTCCAGGCCCATACAACGTCCACCACTGTCACAAGTATTACGTCTGTGCCCGTGTGCTTCGCGTAAAAATCTCGGGCATCACACCGTCTGGACACCAGAGGTGTAGAAAAGGGCTTGGATTGTTCTGTGAAAGGTATCATGGAGCCTTCGACTGTATTTACTCGTCCTTTATTCAAATGCAGAACCACCCCCAGACAGGAAACTTTGGTATCGGTAGAATGTACTCCGGATACGAACAGCGCCGCGGTATTCCTTCGCTTTTTACCCTGCTGACATTCGCCTCTTGCATCTGCATTGCTATACCTGTCAATGGGCAACCTTTTCAGCCGTCCTCCCTCGCAAGTGCCGAGGGCCTGCGTGAGGCTATTGCAGTGGCGGGATTTTTCCAGGGGGGCAAATCCCACAATAAGGTCCGTCAATCGGTTTTTGAGTAGTGCATTGACTAGACTTTCGTGTAAGTGTGCAAACTAAATGCTAGGATATTTCTTTTGTGCAAGTGCGTTATCTATGGGGTGTGTGTAGACTCCTTTCAAACACTTGTCCACACATTAGAAGCATCGGTACTCTTCGTACAATTGCTGCACTATCTGACGCAAATATATCCCCAGGGCAACGCAATGGAAGGACAGAAAATTGATGTCATTGAAAGGGCAATTGAGCCCGAATCAGGAGTAAGGACAGCGGTGAAGGCGTCTGCAATCTCAGCGGACGCACAGAGCGTATCTCCCACCATAGCACCGACCCCGCCTCCCTCCTCCAACACCACTGCCACCCCAACCACTGCCCCGACCACCTCACCAACTTCAAAACCTTCTAATGTCCCCACTGCCCCGCCCACCCTGGCTCCATCCATTGCACCTTCCCCCTCCCCACCTCCGACGCCCGCGCCGACGGCGAGCAACGGGGACGGCAGCCTACCCACGGGGTTAAGTGGAGGACAGAAATTTGGAGTTTTCTTGAGTGTTGTCATTATATTGAGCGCGTTGGGGTATATTGGGAGGTATTATTACGAGAATTACCATCAAAGGCGTCGTCCCACCCGGGGAGAGGGTGGACGACGCCCGTTGCTGCAAGAGGAGTGGTTGTAAATACGGGCACAAGGCGAGGTCAGGGTAGAAGGAACAGCACACATGTACAAATTGTTCTTACTTTGTGAAGTCAGTCGAGTGGCATTAATGTCCTTATAATATAATCGAGATAATTTAATTTCTTGTATGAGTAACGCGTACGCTTCTATATTCAATTAACGGCAAGCAAAAATCAATCGCCGACGCCTCTGTTTCTTTAATTGGCGTGTCCATTAAATGAAGTGTGTCAAGACGACTTTCTCAATATACAATTTGAGACACGGAGCAACGGTGCCTACAACGGTGCCTACACGGCAATCCTTTGTTTGGTGGCGTGGATGCATACGGGGAAAAAATTGAGGATGCAGCGCGTGTGGTCGCTCCATCGCCCTTGCCGTTGCCGCAAACCGCTTCTTACAAAATGAGGTTACGATTTGTAGCATCAAATTTTTTGAATAGCTGTGTAATGCCACGGATAATGCTGGGTCTACTCTTTGTATGTCTCGAATCTTTGGGTCCTTGAAAATGTTCAAGGATCAATCCTTACCTGGCTCCTCTTCACACAGGCAGAACAGAGATTTTACCGCCTCGGTATGTCGGGGTAGCTGCATCAATAGAGACAAAAACTGTAGGAGAACTGTGCCGTCCTATACAAGCGTTACCATGGAATGCCGCTATAACTATGAGTGGAAGTTTTGCCACAGATTCCGACACACCAAGGCACGCATACGCGCGCCTTCCAACCTCCTGGTCTACGCGATGATGCTAATTCTGCCTTGCATTCAAGCCTATTTTTTGCCCGCTCCCGGCACATCAACCTCAAGTTTACTGCCACAACAAATAATAAGTTCCACACAAATGTACGCGTGGGCGCAAACCTTCATCGTGTGCGGCTTTCTCATTTGTTTGATTACAAAAACTTTCTATTCCAGCTCCCTTCGTTACTGTGATATGTCCTTTTGTGCGAATATCTAGAAGATTTTTTGCTGTCGAAAACGAAGTGTATCATTGAGTACGTAAGTACGTTGTCATATCCCGAATGACGTTCTTTATAATTTTTCGTACACCCTTTTCACCTCTGTCCCTTTCGTTCCTCTCCTTACCATTCTCTCCATGCATGGGACTTCCCCTTCGTCCTTTTTGCCCTCCCCAATCCATCTGCCCACTCCTTCTTTCCACCCTTTAGAACATCTCCTTGCTTCCTTAGCACGCACTGGAGTACGGCGCACGGCTCATTAGGCGGGAGGCCTCACCTCCTCCTATTGGGCCGACTGAGGCGACCCTCCGCATGTCCCCCAGTCTATGGCAGGGTCGACAGGATCTGGTTCCCTGATCGCGGCAAGGACGACGACACGAGCATTCCTGGTACGAATCTTCAAGATGCATGGCAGAAACAGGCTTCTTTTTGGCGGGGAAAAGACAAGGACCGTCTGGCCCGGGAAGGAGCCGCTGCTGCGGCTGAGACGAAGTTTCCTCCATCGCGCCCTCCCCCCTTCCCTCGGAGTCTCAAGTCGGTGTGTCAGCTGGAGATGGGCCGTCTGAGGGCTTCATTCAAGGAAATGGCAAGAAGGGAAAAGGAGGAGACTGGGAGCAGGGAGGTTCAGGCGTCGGAGCCGGACGAGGGTGGGAAAGCGGAGGGAGGAGGGACAGAACGGAGGGAGGGGAGGACGGAGGGAGGGAAAGAGGGCGAAGGCTCGAGGGAAAATCGACTCACGGGTATGGCTGTTACATTGCACGGGGGCGCCAGTTTGG